TCAAAAAAAAAAGTTTATGGAGCAAGATTTTTTTTCCATTTATGGACTTTGATATTTCAGTACATAGTATTTTATATTGTTTTATTTGGGAATGCACATTGTGTTTTCATTCTGATCTTTTCTCTAAAATTAGAGATTTTTGTGTATTTACATTGTCTTCTATTGGTTGTATATAATCTTATTTACATGATATAAATTACAATGAGAGAATATGTGATCACCAGCTGACTTAAGGAAATAGCAAAGACCATGACAGAATAAAGCAGAGGATGCTCCTTCAGTGAGGTGGTCAGGGAAGGCTATTCTGCTGTCCAAACAAGAAGGAGGTGGCTGTGCAATGAGGCAGGGTCGGAAGAATATTTCAGGCAGAGGACACAGTTTGTGTAAAGGTCCAAGGGTATGAGCACAGCACTGGTGTCTCAGGTACAAAGACAGAAAAGGTGGTGGGTGTGGAGGTCACAAAACTGAAGAGTTCATGATTCTGGAAGCATCTCCTTAATAGCAGTTGAATCCCTAAGACTGATGACAGGAATTGAGACGGGGAGGAACACCACGAGTGAGAAGCTGAACTTGTCAGTGAATGAAGAGTAACCAGGGAGCTGAGAGATGGTGTTAACAAAGACAGGGAGAAGGTGGGAGACAGCTGGCTGTGATCATAGGTCCCATGTCTGGGTGTGGCGGTGAAGAGCAAGAAGGACACCCTTCTATTGCCCTGAAGCTTCTGGGGCAGGAGAGGAAAGACATTCTCCACTTCAGAGGTCTGGCCAGGCAGCCTCGCTTTCAATAAGGCAAGAGGTGAAGGGAATACCCTGAGGAAAGGCTAAGGGTAGAAGCGGTTTTCCTGGGGACTTGGGAGAGAGGAAAAGTGAGAGATGAGCTCAGATCCTTAGTTTCTGGTTTTAGCTGAACTACAGGTGGTTATAGCACAGGTGTGTTAATTTGCAAACTCCAGGGTCTCACCCAAGAGGTTATAAAACTGGAAGAATGATGGAGACTTGGATCAGGGTCCTAGCAGTGAACAAAAGGAAAGGAATGGATTCAAAGAGCACTTCAAAAGATGACTCCAGGTGAGACTGTGAGAGAGACTTAGCTAGTCAGTGGTGATCAGAAACATTTTTAAGCCCTATGTTAGGACTCTCCTTTGATTGCTGAGTTTTGAGTTTGTTTCCAACTAACTGACTTAAGGAAAAGGACATTTATTGGCTTAAAAATTGAACTGTCCACAGTTAAGGTCAGGCACACCTAGACCCAGGGACTCAAATAATGCCACCAGAGATCTGAATCCACCACCTTTTGGCTCTGCTTTCAACTGTGTTAAGTTGATACCCATTCAGGCTCTACCAGTGTGGTGGCCAAGAGACTTGCCATCAACTCCAGCCTTAGCAATGGGTCTTAAAGAATCCCGGTCCGCTCCAGTCCTCCTTTCATAGAGTGTAAGTAAGAACATAGTTAGCCGTCAGTCAGAGCAAGGCTGCAATTCCCCATCACCCATTCCCCACCAAAACTGGTGATTCAAGGGGTTAAGAAGTCCTAAGCTCACAGATTGGACTTCTCTTGGTCCTTGCAGAGTCACAAGTGACATTTGAGAGGTGCCGAGTGTGCCACTGGTAGGAGCGATGAAACGCACACCGTTTCAGCGCCCTTAAACTTGATTGTTCATCGTGACTGCCCAACACAAACGCTTATTACCCGTAGCCTGAGAGTTTTAATGTAATGTGAGAGGTAGTAGAGTGGGGGCAGTAAAGGCCTCATTAAATCCCAACTGCTGATACTTGAACTGCCACTAGGAGAGGCCTTTTGTTTTTAGTACCTGTCACCAGACACCAAGAAAGATTGCAGTTCCTAGCCCCTGCTTTTTGTACCATGCAGTACCAAATCACAGGAACCTGCAAAGAAGAGAAGTGGCTTGCAATGCTGCAAAGGAGGGCAATGCCTGTTTACTTTTACTACGTAGGTGTGAACAACACACAGTGCTGTTTTGGTTGGGGTTTTTGTATGTTTTTGTTTTGTTTTGCTTGTTTTAAGCTTCATCTGAAGGTTATCATTCTACTGCAATGATATTGTCCTGCAAATTGTGTTTTTCCTCTTTGGCCAAAAAGTGTATTGATATGTGACATTCCAGTTTGCCCATTTTTCTCTGCTCTGAAGTATTCACTTGAACATTATCAAATATATTCATGATTCTCCTGGGCTTGGACAGCAAAGTTATTTCCAGTTTTTTAGCATCATCACAGGGCTTCTGTGGGCATTCTTGCCTGGGTCTTCTGCAAAGGTGCAAGAGTTTCTTCAGGTTATACATGCAGGCATAGCACTGGAGGGGTGGAAGTTATATGTGCATCTTCAGTCCTGCTGCATGTTGCCAACTGGCTCTCAAAATGTTTGAACCAACTTGCACTGCCCCTAGCAGTACTGAGCTGTCTCCTGTATCCATACCCACTCCAATGCTTGGATGGTCCAACTTTGTTCTAATTTCTTAATTTTTGCCAGTCTGAAAATAAGATGGAATAACTTTATGGTTTGAATGTGTCTTTCCCTGATTACAAAGTTTCAAGCTTTTTATTTGTGTAGAAGTGCACTATGTAGAGCTAAATAAGGCAGTTTTTCTGTTTGGGGGATAGGGGAATGGTTCACATTTAAGATATCTAAGCGGTGGCATTTCTTGGTTTAGTACGTTTGGATGGCACCTGTGTTCCTAAATATTGAGCATAATTTTAAGCAAATGAGTTTGCATTAAATCTCTTTTGTGGTTTGTTTTGGCTAGTCTTTTGACTGTGATTTTTTTAATTGACTGTGATTTTAGCATTAACTGTGACACGTTCTTCCCAATCCTGTGTGTAAGAGAGTTGGCTTTAGCAGCAGGTATGAAAACCCACCCATAGACATCTGAGTCCTGATGTCAGGGGTCCTCAAATTCCCTAGGCACACTCCTGATTTAGCTCCTTAGCTCTGACTGTCTGCTCTGCCTGGAATCCTCACCCAGGAGCATATGACTCACTCCCACACCTCCTTCATGTTTGTCATCAGATCTGACCTTCTCTGTGAGGACTTTGTACTCTGTAATATGTACCAGGCCACAGCTCCTCCTGTGTCCCTCCCTCCTTAATTATATATTCCTGCATAGCCTCAATCACTGGAAAACTTTTACTTAATTACCATCTGCATGCCTATTATTTCTTTCTTTGTGTTTCCCCTGCCACCTGTAGAATGTCACATCTGCAAGGGCAGGCATCTTAGTCTGTTTTGTTCACCACGGTCATCCTGGTGCCTAGAATATGCCTGGCTCAGTGTAGTTTTGTTGATTAATAAATGGGCTGGAGTTAGCAAGAAAAAGCACAGAAGAGCATTTTTGAAAGAGAGAGATAATGCATATGCCAGGACCTAGAGACAGCCCAGCATGTCTCATGACTAGAAATGAGGTGAAGAGTATGAGTACATGTGGGGCTATGTCTATGACTATGAATGGCTGTCCACCCAGGCTGGGAGTGCTAGGGGCAGATGTAAGACATATAAGTAGGAGCCACGATTAGCAGTTTAGATTTGACCTTGAGGGCAGTCGGGAGGCATTACATGATTTTTACTGAGGGACTAACACAATCGTATTTGCATTTTAGAAGAACCTCACTCTAGCAGTAGCAAGGAGAAATCATGCAGTGGTGGGGTGAAGATGAGATTGGAGGCAGACAGAGCATCTAGGGAGCTGTCCCAGGGATTGAGGTGAGGGAAGATGGTGGCCTTGACAGCAGCAGGGGGATGAAGGAATATGGATTAATGTGGGAGATACTTGGGAGAGCTCCACTGTCTTTCCCTGCGATCCCCAAGATAAGTGGAACCCAAGGAACTCTCCATGTCGGGCTTCACTGAGCCCAGAGGCCGTGCTTCTACCAAGCATGCTCATAACTAATCAGATTGGAAAGCTTTCCAAAGTGCTCCACCCACATCTTCAACTTTCCTCATGGTGAAAGAAATCTGGAGCAAGCCTGCCATTATTCAATAGTGCAGAATAATGGAGGGGCACACTGAGTGAACTTGAAGTTTTTGGAAGGAAGGTAGCATTCGACGTCCAAGTTCCCCTGGTCTCCAAATCTTTTGTGCAAGTAAATTAGTTTCATTTGTCTCAGGGCACCTTTTTCCAGGCCAACTTCTTCCAACTTGCCTGCCAATGTTTCTCAGTGGTGTGTTTGAGGCTTGGCTGCATCTCCTTGTCTGGAACAAATCTTTTATTACGAGGAAATAGCTAGATGATGATTCTGCACTCTTGGACCCTATTCCTTCTCAGCTGTTGATTCAATATTTGATACCTTGGTAGTTTTCAGCATAACCTGCCTCCCCTCCTGCCTGTTTCTTATTACTATGAGTTACATCCTGGAAGCTGAATGTTAAACCCACCACCTCAGCAATCATGAGCAAGACAGGATTACCACCTGTTTCCTCAAGTCTCTCCCAAGATGTAATGGAGGCACATATGTTATTTTCGTTGCACACCTCCTGGACTTGCGTGATTTTCCCTTGGTCCAGTGGTCACGCCTTCCACCGCAACCTAAAACCATCCAGATGATGGGAATATCATATTGCTTGTTTCACATGGGAAAGCCACAGCCCACCCTCCTCTTGTTCAAGTTGCATTCAAATCTGATTTCCATGGCCCATGTGAGTGGGAGCTCCACAGCCCTCTGTCAGCTGTTGAAGTTTAGCAATACTATTTCCAAACATGGGCCAGGAGGCAGCCAGCAGGCACTAGACAGCTGAGTGCTGGCAGAAGAAGTCTCAGACACCTATGGCAGTCCAAACAGTGACTCATCCTGCTATTGCCAGCATAAATATGGGAATAAATGGTATTTTTCTCTGAGCAGGAAGAATTGTCAAAATGCTTATCACTTTATAAAATATAACAGATTGTGCCTGTTCATGTTTTGAAATGTTCCAACCATTCACTAGCTGGTTTTTTTTTTTTTAATTGTATGAGTTCAGTAATAGCTTTAACTTGTTTTTCTGCTTTCTAGGAGGCCTGGAGAACCCAGGAGTTTCCAAGCAGTGCTTCCTCCTGAATTCTGGATCCACCTGGCCGTGGTGGCCTGTGGCAATCGGCTGGAGGAGACGCTAGTCATGCTCAAATCAGCCGTGCTGTTCAGCCATAGGAAGATCCAATTTCATATCTTCACGGAAGACTCTCTGAAGCCCGAGTTTGATAAGCAGGTAAATTTGCGGAGAGTGTAGCATGAGATTTACTGCGTGAGACAGACTGCATTTGGGGACATGCATATCCTGTTCACTAATGAATTTTCCTGCATACTCAACTGTGTGAACTCTTGACTCGGAGCCTTCCTGTTCTCATGTACAATACAAGGATGACTGCACCTACCTTACAGAAATATTGGGAAGGTTTAATGGGATGATGCACTTAAATCACTTGACCTGGGGCTCAAGCCCCCATTGGTGTTACTAACATTGTTCTCATTTGGGAGACAGGTAACTTATTTTTATCTATTTATGCATGTTTTTTGAATGACGAGTAACATGTGTTCCCTAAAATAAATTCAAATAACATTGATGTTATAAATTAAAGGGTGGAAATCCTTGCTACCCTTCAGTTCCACACAAGAAACTATCAGAGTTAACAATTTTGACTGATCCTTCCATATACAAATGTGTGTATGTTTATCTATCCATGTGAGCTCTATACATGTGTTATACATGTATATGTGTAGACACATACATGTATAACACATGCAATTGTATGCACACAGATTAAAACGCATTATGAAATTAAGATTATTCTCTATGTGTTGTTCTAGAACTTGCTTTTTGTCACTTAAAACCATATCATCAGCATCATCCCAGGTCAGGATCACGCATTCTTACCTCATACATTTTGGTGACAGCATAGTATTTTATTGTGTATCTAGGTCATCACTTATTTTACTATTAGTATACTGAGGGACAAGAATTGATTTTTTTACCTACACAAGGAGAGCTTTGGAAATACCTCTTCTCCCCAGTCTAGGTACACGAGTGACTCTGCCGGCCAAGCTTTGTTTTTCTTGAAGTTTCCCTTGTGGGAAGTTCTTGCATGCTGGCAGAGCGAGCACCTACTTTCGTATCTGCCTTCTTGGGTCAATAGTGCTGCGTCCTGCCACCTGGTTAGCTGAGCTAATGAGAAATGCCAAAGAGGCAGGTTGGGCAGAAAAAGGCTAATAACAGAAAGCTAGGAACGTGTTATGTTTTCTTAAGAGAAAAATCACTTTGACATCTTCACCAAGAGAAGCCCGGGAATGAATAGTCTTGGGGCTTTGAAATTGATTGGAAAATGGCTTGGAAAAAATCTGAGTCAAGGGGAAAAAGAAAGACAAAGGTTGAAACACGCATAGTTAGCTGCTGTGAAGCTATGTGTAGGGGAAATGAGGATGATGATGATAAATACCATTTATCAAGGGCTTCTGATTTATAATTTACTCTTCTTTGATCCTCTCAACAGTCCTTTGAAGCAGGTAACAACAGTGTTCCTATTTACAAACTGAGATCTTCGAGGCTTAGAGACTTTGAGCACTCACCAAGTGTCAGCTCAAGGTTACTGACTCAAACCCCCATGTATTTACCTATTTTTTCCAGGATGATTTCACTTTTTATATGAAGGTGTCATTGATATACAATCTCATGAAGTTTCACATGAGCAACATTGTGGTTACTACATTCACCCATATTATCAAGTTCTCCCCACCCCACACCCCACTGCAGTCACTGTTCATCAGTATAGTAAGATGATATAGAGTCACTGCTTGTCTTCTCTGTGCTATACTGCCTTCCCATGAGCTCCCTACTTTGTGTGTGCTAATTGTAATGCCCTTTAATCCCCTTCTCCCTCCTGCCCCTTCCCACCCTCCCCATCCCCTTTCCCTTTGGTAACTGCTAGTCCCTTCTTGGAGTCTGTGAGTCTGCTGCTGTTTTGTTCCTTCAGTTTTGCTTCTTGTTATACTCCACAAATTAGTGAAATCATTTGGTACTTGTCTTTCTCCTCCTGGCTTGTTTCACTGAGCATAATTCCCTTCAGCTCCATCCATGTTGTTGCAAATGGTAGGATTTGTTTTCTTCTTATGGATGAATAATATTCCACTGTATATATGTACCACATGTTCTTTATTCATTCATCTACTGATGGACACTTAGGTTGCTTCCATATCACGGCTATTGTAAATAGTGCTGTGATAAACATAGAGGAGTATATGTCTGTTTGAATCTAGGATCTTGTTTTCTTTGGGTAAATTCCTAGGAGTGGAATTCCTGGGTCAAATAAACCCCCATGCATTTAACCACTATACATACCACCTCCCAAACTAGTAGACAAAAGACTCAACTTCAAAACTCAGCTCCATCGTTAACTTGCGGTGTGATCTCTGGCAAATCTTACAGCCTTTTTGAGCTTTAGTTTCCCCATCTACAACTGGAGCTAGCAGGGCTGATCAAAGAGATGATGAATCTGCAACCAGAATAGGCCAGGTCAGGCTGCAGTAACAACTCAAAGCTCAGAGAATTTCCACACATGCTACATGTCTCACACAGGCAGCGAGCTCTGTCTACACAGCCTCTTAGGTCTGGGACCGAAGTTGGCAAAGACTACTCATGCTTCTAGTTGCACCTGCTGGAACACTTGGCCCCTAAAGTTCTTGGGATGCCATGCAGGAAAGAGAGAGACAAGTGGATCATGATCGTGCTTTTACCCCCTCAGCTTGACCCTGGCACAGGTGTTTTCTGCTCACATGGAACTGTCTAGAAGTAGCCATAAGGCCCACCCAACTGCAAGTGGCTGAGAAGTGCTCTGTTTGCAGGAATGGAGGAATTCTGGCTCTGGGCAAACACTAGCAGTAATGTCTTGTGCTATTACCATCTAACAAGTATTTATTGAGTACTTACTGCATGCCAGAAGCTGGGTCATGAGATTGAAGTGGAACAAAACACAGACATGGACTTTTAAAAAGCTAAAGGGATGGAAGATGTGTATGTTTGACTATCTATGCATAACAGGTTGTATTTTCCAAAGAGGAAATACCAGTGGCCCCACCTCCTGTCATCCACACCCTGTGTACTTCCCTCCTGCACTGTCCCAGGGCTGGTCTGTGTGACCAAAGCATAGAGAAGAAGTGGTGCTGTGTCACATCTGAGATTAGGTTAAAAAGGCACTGCACCTTCCCTCTTAGTTAACTTTCCTGATCTTTCTCTCTACAATCATTTGCTCTGGGGGAAGCCAGCCTTCATGTCAGAGCAGCCCTTGCAGAAGCCCATTTGTTAAGGAATGAAGGCGTCTTGGCGACAGTCATGTGAGCGAGCTTGGAGACAGAACCTGCAGCCCCATCAAGCCTTCAGGTGACAGTAGTCCCAGTGGGCTGCATCCTCAGGAGATGGCCTGAGCCAGAACAACTCAGCTTGCAGGTTCCAGACCCTAAGAAAGTACATGACATGTTTGTGGGTTTGACCTACTAAGTTTTCAGGTATTTGTTATAAGGCCACAGCTAATACCTATGCACCTACACATATGATATGTATGGTTATATGTAATAGAGTGTTATACTATGTTACACTAGCCAAATGTTATACTATATGACATCTGAGACAAGGTCATAGAAAGGACGCAGCTTCTGCCTGCCTCCTTCTGCCTGGCCACCATGCTGTGAGGAAGCCCAGACTTACCTGTACCGTGAAATCCCTCGGGGAGCCCTCCCCAGAGAGGAGCTGAGGGCCCAGCTGACAGCTAGCCTCAGTCTCCAGCCCTGAGTGGTGAGCCTTGGGGTGATTCCAGCCCCCAGCCTTCCAGGCTTCCCACCGAGGCCCCAGACATCATGGGGCAGAGTCAAACCATCCCTCCTGTGCCTTGTCTGAGTTCCTGATGCATGGAATCTATGAGCATATACTGAATGGTTGCTTTACACTACTGAGTTTTGGGGTAATTTGCTATGAGCCATACTTAACTAGGTATTAAAAATTCAGAGCTAAATCAAATGGGAAAATCATTGTAGATACCTGTAAAGTTGTGCCCTGTTTTGAATTGCCTGATGGCTTTAGCCTTTGATGGCTCATTTCCTCAGGTCTTTGTGAGTCCAGTGAAGCTCATCTGACAAGGGAAATGATAACAGGATATCAAAAGCTAGGCAGGGCACAGGGCGGCACCCCTTTCTTTTCCATGCAGGGATTATGGTGCCAGTTTAGACTTAAACCTTCTCTCTTACATAAGTCACAGAACTTCTTTGAGTCTGAATTGTTTCATCTGTTTCAAGGGCCAAACGATTCTTGCTCTATTACTGAAGAGTGTAATTGTGAGGCTTTATCAGGTCATCTGTTTGTTCTTTCATTCCCCCAAAGGACATCTATATGTTGCGTATTTTATTAGCCCTAAAGTAGTCGGTCAGCAGCAGTTGGTTTCTGTTTAGCCCCAGGAGGTGCTGGGGAAGAAGAGCAGGCCATTCCAGCCTTCCCAAGGCTGTCAGTCCCAACACCACGGCCTTGTGAGAATGTCCAGAGTTTCTTGTGATAACTTTCAGGGAAGCTCAGGGCCATATGCCCCAGGGTAAAGACAAAACACACAAAAATGCCAATTGCCAACATGATTTTTATGGGTAAATTCTCTCTATTTAAGTGGACATTTTTATTTTTAAGCTGCAGCAGTACAATATGTCTGGTGGTATTTACCATCTGCATTGTAGATATGTAACATCTTAAAGTTTCAGTTATTTTTGTTATCTCTCAACATACAAACAGAAAATGCCTTTCCAGGCATCTTGGGAGCAGACATTTGCTTTAGGTTTGGCTAATCTGTGCTCTTCTCCCAGATTCAGACTCAAGTGAAAGTGGGACACAGAAGAGGGGATGGCCACCAGCCCACTCTCATGATAGGTGGGCCCAGTGGGGCAGCAGCATCCTTTGTGCACTGTGGCTCTGCCAGAAGTGTCAACAGGATCTTCCAGTGGCTGGAGTCAGTATATTTTTCAAATGTATTCATAGTAAGAAATGTAAATAGACTGAACATTCCAGCTAAAAGACATTGATTGGCAAAGGCACATAAACTGTTCTAGAAGATAGGATACCAAAGATCAAAAGGTCAAGGAAAACAATACACAGAACATTCCTGTTCTCCTTCCAGGGCTCATCTGGGCTGTCGTGCTGTGGCACAATTATACTGGCTATAATTGTGTGCCCAGTATCTGTTTGACTGGCCAGTCAATTTTACAGAGTATTTGTGCCTGGTGTGGGTTTTGATTTTGTAAATACTTCGACTGTCATTCCTACTCTTTCTCACCCTGAGATTTCTCTCCCATCTGTCTCAAAATTGCAAATTTGAAGTGTTCCGAATAGTAAGTTTCTTCAAAAACTTTCATGTGATTATGTAAGCAGTGTATGTACACTGTAAAAACAAAAACAGTCATAAAGTCATCAGTAGATAAAAAAAGCAACCATCCAACTAATGCTCAGAGACAACAATTTTGGTATATCTACTTAAATTCTTTTGCTTTTCATGTGGACATCAGACATGGGATCATATCCTATATTCTCTTTTTATCACTGACATATTACTGAAATTCTCCTGAAACAGGAGTTGGCCAACTTTTTCTGTGAATGACCAGATAGTAACTACTTTAGGCTTTGCAGGCTGTATGGCCTCACAGCTACTCAGCTGTGCTGTTTAATGTAAGAATAGTCATGGAAATGTGTAAACAAATGGGTGTGGCTGTGCTCTAATAAACCTTTTATTTATGGACACAAAATTAGATTTCATGCGATTTCAGATTTCATGTTACAAAATATTACTCTTGTTTTTATTTTTTTTCCCCAACTATTTGACAATGTCTAATCATTCTTGGCTTGTGTGCTTTTTGTAGCCAGCTGCATTTGGCCCTTGCACTGCTATAGTTTGTCAACCTTCCTTTTACAACACTGGCTATGTAGTATTCTGTTATGTCAACATGCCCCAGAACTTATTTAATCAATCTCTTATTTAGTTTGGTTTCATTTTTCATTATTACAAACAACACTGTGATAAACAGCCCGGCAATAAGTGTGTGCTCGCTTTTGAACTTTTTCCTTGAATAAATTCTTAGAAGTAGAATTTTTGTGGCAATGGGAAGGCATTAACTCAAAAAGTTAAGAAGATACACAGATGGTAGTTAATCATATTAAAGGATGTTCAACCTACTATGTCATTAGGGAAATGACTTGCAAATTAAAGCAACAGTGGGGTACCACTGCAGGCCTTTTAGAATGGCCACAACCCACAACACTGACCACCCATAATGCTGATGAGGATGAGGAGCAATAGGAAGTCTCTTGTGCTACTAGTGGGAATGCAGAATGGTACAGCTGCTTTAGAAGGCAGTTTGACAATTTCTGAGCTAAATGTAGGCTGACCATACAGCTCAGCAATCGCACTCCTTTATCCAAATGAAATGAAAAACCGTCCACACAAAAACCTGCACATGAATGTGTGTAGCAGCTTTATTCATAATCACCCAAAACTGGAAGCAGCCAAGATATCCTTCTATAGGTAAATGGATAAACACACTGTGGTATATGCATACAGTGGAATATTACTCAGTGATAAAAAAAAAGTAAACAAGCCATCAATCCACAAAAAGACACGGAGGGAACTTAACTGCATATTGCTGAGTGGAAGAAGCCAATCTGAAAAGGTCACATACTCTGCAATTCCAACTATATCACATTCTGGAAAAACAAAACTAAGAGATAGTAAAGAAATCAGTAGTTGCAGGAGATCCTGGAGAGGGAAGGAGGAAGGGATGAACAGGTGGAACAGAAGGGCTTTTTAGGGAATGAAACTATTCTGCATGATATTTTAATGGAGGATACATGACACTGAGCATTTGCTAAAACCCACAGAGCTGTCCAACACAGAATGAACCCTAATATAAACTATGGGCTTCACTTACTCATGCACTGCTACTGGTTCGTCACTTGTACCACATGTAACAACTAAAGCAAGATGTTAATAATAGGGGGGCCTGTGGGGGGG